CTTTCCTTGCCTAGTTAAGAATAATTCATAGCATCAGAAGTGAACTTACCCTGGATGAGGGTCCAAACAACAAGAAGCAGAAGTGCACTCAGTCCAGTGGCCATAGTCCTGCCTGGCTAGTGGAGCAGCCAATCCCATTTACTGGAGCTATGCTGGCATCCTGAAATCAGTCAAGAGAAATGGACACAAACATGTCTGGGTTACTTGTGCTACATGCAAATATCTGAGATGATCAAAACCTTGGATTAGTGAAAACATTTTCACAATAATGAGAGATGATGGGGATAACCTATGACAGGTTCGCATCACATGATATAATGCCCGCACAAGGCTCACAGCCATCTCACAATTGCCTCTAGGGTGAGAAAACAATCCCTGGAGTGAGTGACTCACAGACTGACTTGCCTCTGGCTGTTAGTCACACACCCAAGGTAAAACCATGCTTGCATGTAGCCCTGCTGCTGGGCAGGCAGAGGTTTTACCACAGGCAGTTTTACGGAGCAGCAGGTGGCTAGTGTGAGGACAGGCACATTACATCTCTTGCCCTGGGATCTTGAGGAAGATCCCAAGGAATCAATGGTAGATTTGAAGTTTGAGCTGCTGCTGAGTCAGAGGCCAGGCAGAGCAACAACCCTAGACAAAATCATCCTGGTAGTCTGCAAGTGGCTATGCAAGAGAGGATTTCCAAGGCAAGTGAGGGCTAAGCAAAGCAAAGGAAATCTCTCCTTGTGTGCAGTCTTGGAGTGAGGGGGAACAGGAAAGACTGACAAGGCGATCTCTCTTCATTTTGGGCTCTCCACCTTAAGAAGGATGTGGAGAAACTGGAGAGGTGAGCAACAAAAATGATAAAGGGTTTGGAAGAAAAGTTGTACACAGAAAGGTTGAGAGAGCAGATATGTTTACCTTGAAGGAAAGGAATTTAAGGCGCAAGGGACAGGATATCAATTTTCAAATATTTGAAAGGCTGCCATAAAGAAGAAGGAAGGAGATGAACTGTTCTCCCTTGTCACAGAGGATAGGCTATGAAGCATGATTTTAAACTGTAGAAAGGCGATCTAGATTAGATCGGAGAAAAAAATTCCTTACTCTGGGTGTGTCTACACACACCAGCGACTGGTGCCTCCTGAGTCTGGGGGGCACCAGATCGACCACAGGGGTGGGAACCCCCAGCAGCTGATTGCTGGCCAGGGGGGAGGGGGCCCCCAGCGACTGATTGCTAAGACAGTGGCAAAACCAGAAGTGCACTTCTGGTTTCACAGCTGGCGCTTCCAGAGGGTGCAGAGCCGATCTCAGGGGGTGCATGTGCACCCATGTGCACCCCCTACACATCACCAATGTCTACACATGCAAACAATCCAGGAGCAGTTTACTTTCAAGTAAACTACTGGAGAGTAAACTCTCCCAGGCATGCATCCCATATGTGAAGGGATGCCTAGAAGCAGACTGCTCCCACTCCGTGGCCCTGCAACAGGCCCCTGAAGCAGCCAAAGGGAGCTTGAGGCTCCCCCTGGATGCTAGCCCAAGGGCCAGGAGACAGTTATCTCCTGATAGGGGCTGGGACACTGCTCCCTACCCTGGATCCTGCCTGCTACTGGGGTGGGCTCTGCCACCGGAGCCCAGGTGGGGACAATGCTCCCCTGCTCTGGCAGCATGGAGCTCCCAGCCCCCACACCACAATCATGGGGCCCAAGCTGGGAGGTCCTTATCTCCCAGCCTGAGCCCCATGATTTCAGGACCCAAGGTGGGAGATCCTTATCTCCCAGTGCCAGCTCCACAACCATGGGCTCCAGTGGTGGTTCTCACCCGGGCAGCAGACAGCTCCCAGGGGCAGGGAGCAATCTCCTGTCCCCTGATGCCTGGCTGACTGGGAGCACATTTGCTCCTGGTCATGCACCTACACATGCACTCCTGCATAGTAATTAATCACAAGTAAGTTTGCTACTTGCATTTGCAGGTAGCAAATTTACTGGTGATTAGAGCTAATTACTGTACAGTAAGCATCTGCATGTGTAGACATGAATGCTTATTGTACAGTAATAAGCTCTACTGCATAGTAAAACGTATTGTGTAGACGTGCCCTCTGAGAACAATAAGGCAATGGAATAGACTGCCCAGTGAAGTTAGACAGGGGTGGTTTAAGAACAGCATTGCTGCAGGGGATTGGGACCAGGTGACTCTTGAGATCCCCTTCAACTCCATGATTCTGTGATTATCCACCACCAGATGCATACAGCAAAAGGAGTAGAATTCCATGTGCCCGCTCAGAGCAGACCCAGAGTTCACAGGGAAGATTCACAGCATGGGTGGCAAGACAGAGGAAACTTTCCACATACACTGCTCTTCACTAATCTGCCTCACACATTCCCTAGAGGGAAATTCAGGCTCCCCAGCCTTTTCCTTTCCTGCCCGTTCTGCCAAGGTTACCAGCAGATGCCAGGCATTACCATGGTTCTTATGAGGTGGTCTCATGTCATGCAAATGGACTGAGACCTTCTCTCTCCCCACCTGTTCAAACAGGATACCAAACAAGTTCCATCTGGTATCATCTTATTCACAATTATGTGACACATCTGGATAGAAACTATTAATGTTTATGAGATGAACTTTCTACATGAGTAACCAACTCTCCATTGTTAACTTGTAAAGACATCATGGGAGCTTCCTCATATGTTGATTTAATTTATAGTTGCTTCTGGAACACATCCTAACCCAGTGCCTACTAAAGCCAATGGAAAGACTCCCATGCAGTAAAATGGGCTATCAGATCCAGGACCACCAAATCAGGAATAATCACAGAATTACTCTAGTAGCAGTAAGTACCCTATCCCTTTGAAGTCCCCTGGTTTTAACCCATGCCCAGAATGTTACTCCACAACTTGCCAACAACAGAGGATATTTTGTAAGGGCCCCAAAAGCATATTTTTTAATGCCTTATCCTGTAACATCTGAAGCAGTTGCCTTAGTCCAGTGTTTATCCCAAATCCAAGTAACAGCCATGACATTATTAAAGGAGCTCTGGGTTCTAAGAGAACAAACAACTGAAGGGTTTACAATCCAGACAGAGTACCCCTGGTTGAAAAATGAAAAGCTAACACTTGTGTAACATGGTTGCTCTTTATGAACACTCCTGCTTGTAAGTGCCTTTCACCTGCAAAAAAGGGGATTGTTTAATTTAATTCAAAGTGCTGCATAGATGCAAATACACCATTGGTTGCATGAGTAAACATTTTTCATGACTAATCAATTACAGTCATTTCTGAAGTTTTTGGACATTCAGTCATTTCTGAAGTTTTCGGACATTCGGACTGGAAGGCACCCTGGAGGATCATCGAATCCAGCCCCCTACCCCAGGGACAGGAAGTCAGCAGGGATCATAGGATCCCAGCAAGATAAATATCCAAAAGTGTCTTGAAGGCATTCAAAGTGGGTGCTTGAACCACCTCCGGCAGCAGGCTGTTCCAGACCTTGGGGGCTCGGACAGTAAAGAAGTTCTTCCTTATGTCCAGCCTGAAACGGTCACAGAGGAGTTTGTGACTGCTTGATCTCGCCATCCCTTGGGGCGTTCTGGTGAACAGATGTTCCCCCAGATCCTGGTGAACACCCCTGATAAACTTATAGGTGGCCACCAGATCACCCCTGAGCCTGCACTTTTCCAGGCTGAAGAGTTCCATAGCTCTCAGCCTCTCATCATAAGGTCTGTTTTCCTGACCTGATCATGTGCATGGCTCTCCTCTGCACTCTCTCAAGCTTCTCCACATCCTTTTTGAATTGCGGAGCCCAAAACTGGACGCAGTACTCCAGCTGTGGCCTCATCAAGGCCGAGTACAATGGGAGAATGACGTCCTGGGATTTGCTTGAGAAGCATCTATGCATGCAAGCCAGTGTTTTGCTCGCTTTACTAGCTGCAGCATCATATTGAAGGCTCATGTTCATCTTGTGGTCAATCATGACCCCCGAGTCCCTTTCATCTGTAGTGCTAACCAGTGTATCACTGCCAAGCCTACAAGGATGCTGCGGGTTTTTCCTCCCAAGGTGGAGAACCTTGCATTTTTTGGCGTTGAACACCATCAGGTTCTCATCTGCCCATTTCATGAGCCTGTCAAGATCTGCCAGGATCACCCTCCTGTCCTCAGGTGTGGATGCTTTACCCCAGAGTTTGGTGTCATTGGCAAACTTGGCCAGTCCGCTTCTGACACCAATGTTCACATCGTTGATGAAGATGTTAAAAGGTAAAGGCCCAAGGACAGAGCCTTGGGGGACCCCACTGGTCACAGGGCACCAAGACAATTGACTGCCATCAACCACCACCCTCTGGGTCCTGCCACGGAGCCAATTCCCCAGCCAGCGGATCGTGGTGAGGTCGAAGCTGCAGTTAGCCAGTTTTGCCAAAAGGTGATCATGGGATACCAGATCGAAGGCTTTTTTAAAGTCAAGATATATGACATAAATCTCTTCCCCCTTGTCCAGGTGATAGGTCACCTGGTTGTAAAAGGAAATGAGATTGGTCAAGCAAGGTGTTTGAATTGTATATGAAATATTACACCGCTGGCACTGAACTCTATGGCAAATAAATATTTAGCTGCTCTAATAAAAGATATCAGGTTTACCCAAAGAACCTTGTCTTTTTATGTCCTTAGACCAACACAGCTACAACCAACACCCAGATGGAAAATACAATGCATTAATCTGTTTTTAACGTCTCATCAGCAGAGATGAGGTATCTTGAGGCTTTCACTGTTAAGCTGTGGTAAAACAGAACTCCTCTACTTAGAGAATTGTGTCTTTTTTCTTTAGTAAACAAGAGTACAAGAGGAGATATAATATGAAGTAGCCCTCTCAAAAGTTGTTTTAAAAGTTATCTAATTTGAATATGGGAGTATTTCTTCCTCCACAATATGAACCATTTCCTCCTAGTTAGCAACAAAGGTTTGAAAAAAGAGCCCTCATTTAAAGAGCCCCAGTCCACAATATACCAGAACTACTGGAAATAAAACTGGCCTCACTTGAATTTCTAGGGAAGCAGGAATAAAAATCCATAAAATTAAATTTCTCCTTTATAATGTTTGGTACAAGTCCAACTCTTCTGCAGAGGACATGAAGAGTCATTAATGGAGAGGTCTGTACTGGCTTAGGCTCTCCAGTGGCAAGGGATGAATGGCATCATGTTCTGGCCACACCACATACAGGATGGGACCCTGGAGTCAATACTGAGGAAGCAGAGCAAGCCTGACAACCTCCTCCTAGCTCCCTCCTTCCACTTCTCTCCATCTTCCATGAAGATGAATGGAAAAGCAGGGCCAGTGGAGAAAGCATCCCTCAGGGCTGCTGAGAAATCTGTCCCTTCATCTGACTCCAAGGTCACTAGGGCTTTCTTGAAGGCCACTCTATGGTGTCATTCCAGCTCTGATCCAACTGCCAGTTATGGATAGCCCACATACATGTGTCCTCCTGCTCAAGCTGCTTGAAGGAGTGAGCAGTGAATGGTGTCAGAGACAGGGAAGGGAGGAGGGTGGGCAGAGGTAGAAGTCAAGCAAAACATGTCTGAGCTCCTCTCCTACCATGCAAGACCCTCACTGGCCCCAAGCTGACAGGAGCCTCTTAATGAGGAGGGTCATTAGGTGTCAAGTCTGGGCATCTCCTTTGGTAAGAGTCAGTAACTGGTATGAGTTGCCAGCTCTTCCCCCCCGATACAAACTGGGGGGAATTGATGAGACCTTCCTGTGGCAAAGCTACACGTGGCCACCTGCAGGCCTGTTTCACAATCCCTGTAGTAAAGGCTGGACTCCTCCTGCTCAGGAGTGGAAACATTTTTCTCATGAAGCACATACCATGTGATTAATACCAAGTAAGTCAGGCAACATGCCACCTGCCTTTGGTGTGCCAGGTGGGAACGTGAACTGTTAGGGACATCTCCCAACTGCACTGTTCAGGGCTTCAGGCCATGTTGTTCAAGTAGCCTCCACACCCCACTTGTTTGCCAGAGAAAAAGTGGTCTCATAAATATAAAATGAAATATTACGGAGAAGCATAACACAATCCCCTGCTACACAGAGTCCAGCAATGTCCCAGAGATCAGGCCTGTCAGGGTGACAGCCCATGCCACGGTCCCCTCAAGCAGAGCCAGCACCTGAGACAAGGGGTACCTGCCTAGTGTTAGGAGAAAATAACTTGTTTCAGGATTGAATTGCCATAGTAAAGACTCACTGAGAGAACACCGATTAGATCAGTGGACGCAAGGAAGTACATAGGGATGAGGGAAATTTCCAGTCCACAATACGAGGCAGAAGAGTTTACACTGAAATGGGCATCTTCTGGATTAAGGGTGTCTTTGGGATCTCAAAAGCACAAGGATGAAGACAGGATAAAGGAAAGGAATACTACCCCCTTCTGTTTTGTGAAGCAGGTACTAACAGTGCACAGCAGTATAAAAATTTAGGCTGCTGGGGAATCAGGTCAGAGCTTTGCTACACCTTATGCTGAAAGCCGCACAAATGTTAATTAATGCTATGCTCATCAACTTAGTGGAGAAGTCACACTTTAACCATCTCTCACTGTCCTTCACCTGCACAGCTGTGACTTGCCATTAGAGACTTGAAAGCAGGGCCAGGACCAGGAGCTGTTCCCACTGGGCAGAATAAACTGGTTTGAGCAGTGACAGGGGTGCAGTGCCTCCCACTGCCACAACTCAGACCTGCTTGCTGCTCCCTTTGGGCAGAATGGGAGCCACCGCAGCTGCCAGGCGCTCCAGGGCTGCAGCATGCACTCTGACTGACGTGCACAGGGGGTGAAGTGCCATGCCTGACCCCACTGCATCCTAGCATCTCTGCTCACCCTGACTCTGGAGAGACCAGTTCATTCTGAGATGCTGAAGGACTTCAACTTGGGTGGAATAGCTGTGGAGAGTGGCCACATCTTGATGGAACAAAAGCAAAATTAAGCAGATTAACTTGCCCTGAAGTAGCATAACTTTAAACCAAATGAGCACTTTAAACCAGTTCAAGGTGTTACTGTGCATCCAATCCAGGGGTAAGAGCTCCAGAAGTTGCCTAAAATTACTGTGTAACAAGGTCCAAAGTGATATCAGGTTTTGCTTTACTCTGTCTAGCTCCATGGAAAGGCCACTGTAAAGACTGCTAAACTGGTTGCAGCTAACACAAGTGACAGAGGGCACAGAGCAGAAACACAAAGAAAAGAAGAGGCAAACCTTGCAGGGAGGGAGCCAGGACTGCAATATCTTTATGCTTCATTTGAGGGCGCCCCAGAGCAATGAGTGAGCCAGGTATGACCTCCTCCTCTCTGGAAAGCAGTGGTTTTTATTTTTTTTTTGCAAGTAAAATGTGTCTGTTGGAGTGTTGCTAGGGAGGCTGGGCAAACACAGCTGGAATGTGGTTGGGGGAGTGAGTGTTGGTTTCAGCTCAGTGTGCACAATGCATCTTGTGAATCCACAGAGTGTTACTGAAAACCCCTCCAGCCTAATAAAACAGAAACTACTGAGCTTTCAGAATACTGCTGTTTGCTTGGTCAGTAGCTATTTTTACATGCCACGTGCATTTTTTTCCACAAGGCAGACACTAGTTCTCAAGGTGCAAATAATTCTGCAGTGTAAAATTAGGAGACATATTCCTTCCAGAAGGGAACTTTCTGCCTAAACAACCCAATAGTTAACTCATGCGCTGAAGCTTGCACTGATATCCTTTAGTAGATCCAATCCTGGCTAACGTTAGCATGGGCATCTATTTCCTTTCTGGAAGCCTGGTAGGCTCCTGAGTTTTACAGGTCAGTTTCAGAGGGAAAAACCTTACAGATGTAAGCTTGTTTCCTTTTAGTTTAATTAATCCCCTTGTATATCTTACACTATAAGAAACATAAATAGAAGCCATTTTTCTATTTTTTGTAGTAATTTCTCTCCTCAGTATCCTCCTGCCCATCCAGTTTTTGGGACACCTGAAACTTTTGAAACAAATGCCAGAGTCCAGTTTCATAGTGACTCCTCCAGTTCTCTGGAAGTAGCACTTCTTCCTCTGCAGAATGTCTTCTTACTCCCCCCTCCCTGTACTACGTACAACACGCACAAATATACACTGCTGGGCAGGGGGCAGACATGCCTTTCACACACAGGTGCAGCCATGTCAGATTGCTCCAGAAATTTTGAGAACAAAAGATACTAGTCTATCAAAGCAGCAAACAAGTTATTTGCCAGACAATCTTCTTTATCTCCCCCCCTTCACATACCTGAGCAGGATCCTTCTCTCTCTTCAAAAGCAACCTCTCTCCTCAGGCTTCTGAGCCCAGATTTCTCCAACACTTGCTCCCCAAGCAGTGTGTGACTTTACTTTTGTGGTTCATGACCTTTTCCTGGTTTCAGCTCTCTTCTTTAATCCCTTCCTGGTTTATTGTTTGATCAACATCTCAGGTTCAGAGAGCCATTTTCTTTTGCACCATTACCAGTCTTTCCTGGCTCAACAATGCCCTCAGCAGGTGGTAAAAAATGCAGCCTAATGCTCTCCAGAGTGTCTATCAAGCCATCTCTAGATTTTCTTGCTTATCTACCACATTTCTTAATGACCCTGTAAGATCAAATCAAATATGTATAACATGGGCAGAGACCTCTTGCACAGCAAAACCTCTATCCATTTTTGAGATTTCACAATACTCAATTATAAGTGACTGAATGCATTCAAGCACACATTCAATTGAAAAGTTAATATTTTTAAATTAAATTTGAATGTCACAAACTTGAAGACTCTCTAGAGTTCTATCTTATCAATTAGGCCAGTGATCTCTGGCTTTAAAAAAAATCTATTTTCAGATGCTGGCCAACAGTTTTTAGCCGACAAATTTGTTACGTAACACTGATACCACGCTTCTACCCTAGAGCTGGCCTGCAGGTAAGCAATATTGAGGACTACATATTCACAGGGCTTGCCTATGACTTTGAGGCTGAGGCATTCTGGGAAGATTGGTAAAATTTAGCAGCCAGTAGAAGAAGTACAGAGCATTACATTTCAGAAAGACATAATGCTATTGCCACATCTGACCAACAGGCATGACTAGCACTATGCACAAAGGCAGGATCTCATCTGCCATCACATCCCAGCGAGGTTTGCCATTTCTGGCCATCTTTAGAGCTCTAAGGGGGTGGGTAAAACTGCCTAGCATCTTCTTCAGGGCATATTTGCTGTACCATCTTTGAAGCATTAGACACCATTATCATCATAAATTGTTCTTCTCCCTGGGCTCACCCAAGGTATTCAGAATGCTTTCCTGTCATACATTGTCAGTATAGTTGCAGGAAGATAAAACCTAGCTTGACTGGCCTACCTGTAAGGCATGCTGCCTGTTGGTACCTAAAAACCCTTTCCTGCTTCACTTATGGAAATGGGCACTAATGTTGTAGGCAATTTCTGTGTGTTCCTAACTTTGAACACAATAAGCTTGATTATTATTTAAATGGTTAGTTACTAAAGGCTTGAAAACTTGCAAAAAATTGCTAATTAACAGGTTTAACATAAAATATATCACCTACCATGGTGACTGGTGGAGGAAGGGTGGGAAATATTTTAACACTCTTGGGAGTAGACTTTTGAAAGGCCATATTAGCTGTCTTGCCTCTATTTTCCTCCAGGATCATGAAACAACTGTAGGATTGGTGGAGGTAGCAAACAAAACCTAGGATGTCCTATGGCTGGCTAAAGAGTCAGGTATAACAAAAATCAGAACAATGGTTTAAAATATGGTAAGTGAAGACAATGCACACAAAAATATCATCCGCAAAATTCAGCAACTTGGCTTTTCCCATAGATGCTGACTAGAGGATGAAGCTAAACATGAGTAATTAATGTATCAGTAGCAAGGTTTTGAATATTTTTCTGTTCAAGAAATGCAAAAGGTGACACACTTGTTAGGGTTTGTTTTGTCCCAACTTCAAAATAAAGCCATTCCCCTGCTCCTGAAATTCAGGCCCCTCTGAAACATCATACAGTAGTAATACTACACAGACTACAGGACAGAACAAAGTTTAGGACAGTGTTTGTCAACCTTTTCGTGCTCAAGGCACCCCTCATGCTCAAGGTACACCCCACATGATGCAGAGGCTGCTGGAGCATGCTAATTAGCATACTTCAGCAGACTTGCAGCAGACCCAACTAATCAAGTTTGCTGTCATGTGTATTGGTGCCCTTAGTGACCCAAACTGGGAAGAGCTTGAGACCATGGTGCAATAATGACTCAGAACTGAAATGGGAACAACTGCTAAATTACCTGGAGTTCTCAGTAAACATCTGTGCAGCCCAAAGAGGAAATGGAAGAGTTCATATGGAAATGAAGGGTTAAACACCAAGTAAGAGTATATGAACTGGCAGGCAGCTTGCAATCACAGAGGGCAAGGGAGTGAGTAGTTAAAAGAGCCAGAAGATGTAGGCCCAGGCAACTGTGAGAAGGTCACTAGAGGGCTATCACAACCCAAAGCCAAATGATTACTCATTCAATGCCTCCCTATGGCAGAGGCTGGATGACAGCTCCAAATCACACTTTTCCTCATACCTTTGCTCAGTGATTCTCAAACCTTTTTTGGACTCAAGGCACCCCCCTCCACAGCTTTTCGCAGAATCATAGAAAATTAGGGTTGGAAGGGACCTCAGGAGGTCATCTAGTCCAACCCCCTGCTCAAAGCAGGACCAGACCCAACTAGATCATCCCAGCCAAAGCTTTGTTTGGCTGGGTTTTAAAAACCCACAAGGCTGGAGCTTCCACCACCTCTTCGGGAAACCTGTTCCAGTATTTTACTGCCCTCCTAGTGAGAAAATTCTTCCTAATATCTAACCTAAACTTCCCTTGCTCCAACTTGAAACCATTGCTCCTTGTTCTATCATCTGCCACCACTGAGAACAGCCCAGCTCCATCCTCTATAGAACCCCCCTTTGGGTAGTTGAAGGCTGATATTAAATCCCCTCAGTCTCCTGTTCTCTAGACTAAGCAAGCCCAGTTTTCCCAGTCTTTCATAGATTCATAGATGCTAGGGTCAGTAGGGACCTCAGTAGGTCATTGAGTCCAACCCCCTGCCCTGGGCAGGAAAGAGCGCTGGGGTCAGACATCCGTGCCCAGATGCCTATCCAGGCTTCTCTTGAAGATCCCCAAGGTAAGGGAAAGCACCACCTCCCTTGGAAGCCCATTCCAGATTCTGGCAACCCTTACTGTGAAGAATTTCTTTCTAACGTTCAACCTAAATCTGTTCTCTGTCAATTTGTGGCCATTGTTCCTAGTTACTCCAGGCGGTGCCCTAGTAAATAGAGCATCTCCTATTCCCTGCTGCCCTCCCCTGATGAATTTACAGGCAGCCACAAGATCACCTCTCAGCCTTCTTTTGCACAGGCTGAAGAGATCTAGGCCCCTCAGTCTCTCCTCGTAGGGCTTTGCCTGCTGCCCCCCAACCAGGCGAGTGGCCCTCCTCTGAACCCTCTCAAGATTCTCCACATCCCTCTTGAAGTGCAGCGCCCAAAACTGGATGCAGACCTCCAATTGTGGCCTGACCAGTGCTGCATAAAGGGGAAGCATCACCACCCTGGACCTGCTCATCATGCATCTGCTAATGCATGATAAAGTGCAGTTAGCCTTGTTGATCACTTTGTCACATTGACGACTCATGTTCACCTTGGAGTCAACTATGACTCCACGATCCCTTTCCTCTGCCGTGCTGCTGAGGTCATGCCCCAGCCTGTAAGTGTGGGTGTTTTTTTGCCCAGGTGCAGCACTTTGCACTTGTCTTTGTTGAACTGCATCCTATTTTGTTGTGCCCATTTTTCCAACATGTCCAGATCCGCCTGGATCGGTTCCCTACCCTCTGGTGTGTTAACTTTGCCCCATAATTTGGTATTGTAACGGGGCACCAAGTCTGCCCAATCACACTTGTGGGGAGTGAAGGAAAGCAGAAAACTTACTTGAGCCACCAGTCCCAGGAGAAAAGGGGCGGGGCTACCGGGGTGGGGAAGAGGGACCCCTATGAAAACACAGAGCGCAGCAGCGGCAAGGGAGAGGGAGAGGGGAGAGTGCTGGCTGAGAGAGAGAGAGAGCAGATGGCTGGAAGGATTTAAAGGGGAAGTAACCCAGATTTAGCTAAAAAAGAGAAGAAAGCAACCCAGAAGAAACAGGGAGAAATTACAAGAAAGAGAAAAGGGAATGTAACAAGCGTCCTGGAGAGAAACTTACCCGGGAAGCTGAAGTGAGTTAAGAAAGGAGCACTTTGAGTCGGTGAGTCTGATACCTGAAGACATCGAGTAACATCCCAGAGGCTTAAATTTAAGAGAAAGGAATCAGAGTGGATGAAACCTAACAAAGAAGAGAACCCCACAATTTCAATCAGTAGTAAATACAAGGTGACATAGGATCGCAATTTTGCTTGGGACCTGCGCGGAGGAGAACGAGGCAAGCAACCAAGAAATTGAGAGTTCTCAAAGAGAGAGAGATCCCTCTCTCTCTTTGAGATGTTATTTATCTAAGAGAGACATAATAGTTGTGCAGAAGAGTTATTTTTTGTTGAACCGCAGACACGATGTCTTCCTCATCTCTGAGGATGGTGTTTATTTCTGTACCTTATTCCATCGAAGTCGTGGCGAGTGAGAAATAAAGGAAATTAACCAGTTCACGTTTAAACAAGAGATGGTGATTTATTTTGTGGACATAGCTTAACTCTCACAGGTATCATCTGTGAATTTCGACAGGGTGCTCTCTACGCCCTCATCCAAGTCACTGATTTATTTGAATAGCACTGCTCCAAGGACTGAGCCTTGCGGGACTCCACTGTCCACATCTTTCCAGGTCGATATCGACCCATCCACCACCACTCTCTGGGTGCAACCCCTATGCCAATTTGCCACCCACCTGACCGTGTAACATGCAATTTTATGAACACCCAATTTCAAAAACTAATTTATATATTGTGGGGCCAAGCAGTAAGAGTCAGGGATTGGCCAGGCAAGGACAAGTCTGAGCCTGTGCTTATCTGCTCATCTCTTCACACCTTGATGCACCCTTCAAAATGTTTGGCAGCACCCCCCGGGTGCCGTGGCATCCTGGATAAGAATTCCTGCTTTAGTCAAGTGCACCAGCTCAGACTCTGCATACTCCTAGGCACACACAGCCTGAATGGTGGGGAGTTGGTACAAGAACATATGGTATACAGTGCAGAATGTCTGCAGTGTAGTCACACACTTCATGAAATCTGGTGATATGATAAAGCAAAAAGGCAAGAAGGCCACAGGGCAGGGCTTTCCCAAACGAGGACAAACATCTGGTATGAACTGGATGAATAGATTTTTTTTAAATATCATTTTAATTATTTACATTTTATAAACATTCATCATGGCCCAAAGGAAATGGCTGATGGCCCACAGTGCTTGTGAGCACCCACTTGGGGGCCACATGGAATTAAGGCCTACAGCCAAATGGCAGACAAAAGATGGAAAAATACTTATCTCCACCAGTATTCATACAATTTTTTTTGAAGGAGGGAGAGGGGAAGTTGTTTCAGCACCTTAGCCACAATTACTGGCTGGCTGGAGTGGAAGAGGAAGGAAGGGCTGGGGAGGAAGATGCTGTAGCTGCCTCAAGCCACCATGAAAAACCTCTCTTCTCTTTTTAGTGCTCCACTGGTACAAGTGAACCCCACCAAAACAGATCTCCCTTAGGTGTTTCTCTCCTAACCAAATAAGATCAGCTTCACAGCAAGCAACCTGGAGGACAAATGTCCATGCTTCAGTTGTCAGTGTATGACAGTGCACTGAGCCCAAGAGGTAACACTGCCAGGCTGCAGGCACTGCATTTGGCCAATCTATGAGGTGGCCTGAAATCATCACCCTGCTCCAGTGATGCCACCACCCTCACCTAATAATGAAGGGGTGGAATGCCATTATAATGGGACTGCTGGTCGTTTGCTACTGTTTGATTACTGTGGGGCATTCACGTGCTCCCGCGCCCTGGATCACACCCACTGCCAAAGCCTCAGACACGCAGGGATACTAGGAACACCCAGCCATGATCAAAGAAGTGTGAAACTGGCCTTTCAGTCACCGATGATGGATTGTGGACTGGCAAGGGGGAATCTGTCAATGTTACTGTGGGACAGAGTGGTTTGCTTGGTTTCCTCCCATATGCCAGGATCGGGAAAAACAAATGTGGGACAGGGGGAGATTGTTGTGGTTTCTTCCAATGGCCCTGGTGCTGTTATGTTTTGCCTGCAGGTGTGCTGCCCACCCTGGGTCGTGCGGGGGTGCGCCCCCCCCGGGGCCCCGCCATGACCCCTGCCGTAATCCCACCTGCAGCTCAAAATTCTACAACCACCCAGAGCCCAAGGAGGTGACCGAAACCTTCAACCCCACCCTCATGGGAGACGATAGCTCCAGCAATTCCCCTGCCCGATGACACTTTGGCACAATGGTGTACAGCTCACCAAATACACCGGTCCTCCAGCTACAGCAAGGTACTGTGCTGGTTTAAAAATGGCTCTTATGCTGTCAAGTGGTGGTCCACGGAATGGGAGGCCAACACGTCCCACGTTCCGGGTATTTTGTGGTTCAGCCACATGGATGAAGGAGGGATCGCTCATGGAACTGAATATACAATAACTGCATATTGCCAATCAGTCTGGGAAAATCTGCAGGGCACAGCCCTGGTCAACCCAGAACAACTGGCCAAGCCCATGGGGGGGCACCGCACCAGAATTATGTCTGCAAGAAACCAAAGCCATAGTCGTACCTGGGCAGTGTGCATTTAAGTATACAGATGGGGACACACCCAAGTGAATGCACTCCTTCGACCAACCCGATTGGGAGACTTACCAATCCCAAGAGGAAGAAGGAAGATAGTTAAACACCGGAACAGGAGAACCCCTAGTCGTTTTTTGCATTAAGCAGGGATGTACATTGCTAATCCAAAAGAAGCTACCACAGGTGTATCTGCTACCTCGCTTATCTAACGTCACTCGCTGGTGGAGGTCCCAAACCAAGGCTCCGGTCCTCCTTAATGCTTCCTTGTTCAATGCCCGTATCACATTTAACCCCAAGCAATGGTTTATCAGAACAGCATTTCCTAGCTCAGTTGGCGGAAAATATGCTGCGCTGGGCCTGGCCAACTGTCTTCCAACCCGCAGCCTGGCCTCTAATCGCACGGAAGAAGAGGGATACCCTAGACCATGTGTGGAATGGGCTCAATTCAGCCATGGGAGTTTGGAACATAGATAAATCCCAGAAAAATACCCAAGGAATCAGGGAAATAGGGGGAGCCATAGGTTCTCTCACTAAGGGAGGTATGATTGATAACATGGCTTTAGAATACACTGATGAGTTAGTGGCAATCACTGGCCGAAAAGCAGCACAAATAAGTCACCTTTTGATGCATGCAGCCTTCCAAGCTGATGCTAATCAAACCTGGAGCACTGCTTTTGCCCAAGTGCAGCTTTCACTTAACCTTCATTTTTCCCAGGTAATGAGCGATCTCAGATACAAAGAATGGCCTTCTGGCTTAGAACACCATGGACTACCCCCAGCTTTAGCCCAACGGTTAGTTTACCGAGACACATGGAGCACATGCTGGGAGGGGTGTAGCAAGACAAAATGCTTTTTCGTCGTACACGGGGTAGCAAATGGCACATGGTCCACCGCTCATCTCTTGACAACAGGACTAGGAGGTGGGTGCATGTGGGACTGGGACTTACATCGTCCCATTTGGGAAATTGTAACCCCCGAAGGTCCCAAGTATTTGGCCCAATCCCCGGTGTACCCTGTAAATGGCATTCTAATAGGCTTGGGAACTTTATGGAGAGGGTGGCCTAATAGTCCCCCCCAACATGGTTTGTGCGACACCCCTACCAGCAACTCCCTATATTACCCTAGCCCAACAAGTTTGCTGGGAAGGTCCTGGCCGCTTATATCATCTTAACAGCACATTTTGGACCTCCTGAAACAGCTGTTGTGCAGAGGCTCAAGATTTCCAAGGGGCATTAGCTACCCTATATGTCCATGACCAGGAAACCACCTTACTGTGGCCAAAAACCCAATTAGACATGTGATTTCTTTCTAATGTATATAATATAGACAGTATATACATTAATGTGATATATTAATGTATACCAGTATAATTTGTTAATATGTAATTCCATGTTAAAAAGGTAGAATCCAGTATTTGAATGGCAACACCTTAGCAGGGAGTCTAACAAATCACACATTTTGATGCTCAAACTGACACTTACAGTGCTTACAATTTAGAAAGTTAGTGCTTTTCTCATAGTGCTTTTACCATACTGTGGTATATTGGATAGCACAGCCACTTCCCTCCCATTTAGAATAAGAAAACAGTTGTGGTAACTGTGTGTGACAGTCTGAACCAGAGCAATTAATAAGCAATAATACGTGCTTCTTGGAGGCATTTGGTATTTTGCCTAAACAGGTAATATTAGTTAATATAAGCTTGTAAGTCTGTAAACTGCAACTTGTCTGTCATAAGTTTAACCAAAATGATACATTAACTGTTCATGGAACTGACTGGGCCCCATAGGCAAAGCTGTAGCTGTGAGATTAGCTGGCCTAGCGGTTTTTTGCTCAGGGTTCAGCCTTAGCGATAAAAACTGGATCTAACTGCTTGGCACACCCAACACATTCCAGGAAAGCATATCCCAAGAAAGCATATTCAAATGAAGCCTAAAAGAGGTTGGGATTTAGGCGGAGTGATGTCAATTTCAGACCTAAAGGTGCTGCATCATAATTTGCTTATTGGATAAACCTGAGTCTGGGTAGTAACCTTTTATGATAATTTTAACACCTTTCAATCCCATAGGGTAACAGCTATAGGGCAACATTGTGAGTGGCCCTGAGGTCAACAGATTAACATAAGACGAGGTATAAAAAACACATGCATCAGGTAACCAGCAGGAAGGAGGGAACAGAACGGTCATTTCTGTTCCACGCTGGACCCCAGACTCCCGGTGTGAGTGAGGATCGGATCCTGAACAAGGGACCTTTCCCGGTAATCCCTCTGACAGCGTCGATCATCAGGGATGGCCGACTTCGCGGGAATCACTTGGCATGCACCTGGCATTGAGGGACTATCGATAAGTTGCCAACCCATGTCTGTCTATTTGTTGTTTTGAACAGCCCAGTGTGGCTAATACCCTCGCAGTGCCCAGTTGGCCTGTGACAGATTGATCTATCTATCTGTTATTATCTGTTGTTATTATTTACTATTAGCTCTTTTATACTGCCTTATCTTCTTATCGCATTTATCTTTCTGTTAACTGTTGTGTGTGTGTAAGCTATAATAAATTTGCCTTTATTCCACTCCCAACTTTGCCTCCTCGATCCGAAACTGAATCAAACAGCCCAGTTGGCCTGTGATAAAATTGATACACTCACAGTGCCCAGCTGGCCTGTGACATAGGGCTAAGATGTTCTAGGAGACAGGAGTCCACCTCTATAAACATGGCATTTATATGCTTAGAGAATAACTTCCAGGGACAGTAGTGCTCAAAACTCCCAGAAATAATCCTTTCATGCCTATCCCCCTGCCTGCCCTCTATCACTTTTCTTTTTCTCTAAAGCAGCGACTGTTACAGAAAAAGAAATTTATTGAAAGTAGTGGTCTCAGTGCCCCACCCAGACTAGAGAAATGTGATCTCCTCCCCCAACAAGGTGCTAAGTGTTCTGTTCAGAATTCATGGGAGTTATGGGGTTTCTAATGAAAGAAAAGTGGAAGGGGCTTTTCTCTCCCACTCTCATGTCATGGGATGCAGGGAGAAGAGAAAGTTCCAGTTGGAAACATGAGATCATAAGCGTACAGCTTCAACTGTAGCATCTTGCCACTGATTCATGGGAATGAAAACTTGAGGCCTGGCTGGCTTGCCCTGCCCAAGCTACGCTGGGAAGGTGTTTGGGCTATGCAGAAGAGAGTTGCTCCTGTCCTGATCTCAATAGGCACTAATACCTATTGTCAGCTTTTGTGAATCAGATTATCTTCATCTTCCTGCCATCTTGGGATCTTACGAATGCAGCATTATGTTTTTCCAGGGCAAACCCAACCACCAAAAGCCTTCTCCAAGTATTGAGCCAGAGCCAGTGTTAGATGGTCATTGAAGGGTCCAGCCACCACCTGGATTCCCAGGGGAAGACCCTCAGTGCTCAAGCCCAGGGGGCACTGGGTCACAGGCAAGCCCAAGACATTGAAAATAGCTGAAAAAGAGAAAGAGAAAGCTCTCGATTAGAACAGACAGAGGGTGTTCCATTCTGTATTCCTAGATTTTGGTTCTGAGATGTTAACTGGGTTAACATTCATCCTTTAAAGCAGGATGAAAGAGGAGTCTAGTTTATCTGCTGTACAGGCCCCCATGCCATGGTAGTTACTTCAATAAGAGGGCCACAGCTGATCAGATGCTCAAATGCCAGCTGAAATAAAGCATGTTCAAAAACACTGTCTATCATTCCTAAGATCACAAGAAGTACTTCTCGTATGCTATGCCACCTTTAAAGGAGAAAACAGCCTAATCCAAGTGTCTTGAGGGGCTGTGATGGAGTTCCACCAAGTTGTGCTCTTTACCAATATCAATCTGGATACAGTGTTGTCTTCAGATTGGCTTCTTTAATACAGAAGAAAGTACTCAAGAGGTCACCCCAGAAACCAGCAGGTTTCTGCTCCCACTCTCATAAAGGTTTAATTTCCAAATAAGTAGCAGGATAAGGAAAATAGTTCTCAAATATCTGGGCAAGCGGACCCTCTACTACTAAGTGAGTATGCTCTCCCACTACTACTGGTGAATTAGTACAAGCAAGATCCCTAGTTTGTCTCCCATCTCTTCAGGGCCTAACACCTGCAGGAAGTGGTGCTCACCTGTGTAGGCAAAGTTGAAGGGCATCCCCAAGGGGAAATGATGCTTGGGAGCCACTATAGGATGTGAAGGGTACAATAGCAACCCATTGGCTCCTAGTAAGTCCTCCATCTCAGTCCGGAGGCTCTGTCCCATGTTCACCAGCTTGGCCATTGCAGCAGGGCTGAGTTTCATCAACTTCTCAGTCAATCCCAGGGCTGTGGAACAACCAAGAGGACAGCAAATTGCATGAGGTTGTCTCAGTTAAAAAGCATTTTATATAGACATCTCAGCATGCCCCACACTTGTAAAAGGGCTGTCAGGAGCTTGGAAACTGTTCCAGGAGTTGGAGGGCACTATCTCCTCCTGGGCTTGCAAGTTCCTGCAGCAACTGCTATCTTTGTGTAGATAATGTTCAATGCACGAGAACCTTTCCCCATTGAACAAAATCTGGGAATATTTTTATTACCTTCTTGAATTTTAAATCAACCACTGTTGCAAGTGACGACAAAGAATTCAAGACTGAAGGGGATCAAACAGCTACCAGCATTATCAGGTATCCTAAACCATTTTTGTTTGTTTGTTTTAAAGCAAGGAATTCTAAAACTGAATGAGGGAAAACACACCCTCCTCATCTCTCCCTTGTAGTTATCTAAAACATATACATTTTATATCATACTTTTTCTTTCTTTCTGCCACTGAGGCACATTTCCAGCAAAATTTACTAGCTCAGAGGGAAGTTGGTTGTTCTGAAATCTTTTCAGTCTAATTTCTATCAGAGACTCCAATCTCTTTTCCTGGTCATCCCACAAGTTCTGCCAATGTGGCAGTCTACCTTACCATGCATCTGCAAGCATTTAATCCAAAGAAGTTTTAAATGACCCAAGCAGCAAGGCTTTATCCAATGTTTCTCAATCAGGATGACAGTGACACCTTGGGGTACCTTGAGATCTTTTCAAGGGTGCTATAGGATGTCATGTAATGTTAATGCTGTTAGGTGCGCAAAAGTGATTCACAAGATAAACCCAGACATTTCATAAAGGAATCCAGTGTTAAAACATTCTGACTTGCTGTGGGCTTTCTGAGTTCTTTGCTCTCTGTTTTTTCTGTAGCCAAAATCTGTGAAAACCAAGAGCTGGCATTTTCCAAAAGAAGCCTTGAATCTAAAAAGATTGAGAGAACCACTGTTCCAACAATTTCCCTCAGGAGGTCACTTTATAGCCTACTAAGCTTCCAGCCCTCAGAGTTTAGAAATTTACTCAATTATCCTGCCTACATTTTCCTTAAAGTTTGACCCTAAATAGTTCCTTTTTCCTTTGCATTTGCACCCTTCCAATGCTTAAAGAGACTAAACAGCAATTATTAAAAACTGTAGATATTCAATGTCCAAAGAGTTCAATGAAGAGGCAACATTCCAGTGAAAACCTCAAAAGCGAGAAAACAGAATACTCATCCAATGACATGTCCCAAGACTCAAAGATTACTTTGTGATGTGCCATGCCCATGCCTGCTTTTGCTTACAGCAATGTTATAAATACAAACTATAGACATGTTCGCTTATTCATTATTAAATTCAGCCACCTTTTGGGTGGACTCTGGCAACTGCTGTAACAGCAAACAACATTTGTTTCAGTCCAGATGTGAGGGAAAACATTTCTACCCATAACTGCTGAGAATGAGTTAGAGAAACAGGAGGTAATTATTTATGCAAGTTGGAAATCAAAACAGAACACAAGGGCAAACCACCTTTGAACAGGATACTCTAGATCAGTGGCTCCCAACCTCAGGCCACAACCCAAATCAGGGTCATATGTGGGGGGGGGGCGGGGGGTGGTGTCTGCCCTTCCTACCCATGGGGCTGTCCCAGCACATGGTCCACACGGCTCTCACCACCATTGCCCCCTGTGATCCCAGCCCAGGCTCTGCTGGCACTGCCAGGCATGAGTGAGTTGTCAGCAGGTGCAGGGGTCATGACCCGGATTTAGGATCACAGCAAAAGAAGATTGGGAGCCATTACCCTAGATGGACAAAGCTCATTGGTACCTTGATTTCACATGGTTCAAGGGAAGCAGTGCCACTTACTCCGTTAGTTTCACCACCCTTTGCATGTCTTATACATCTATCATTCAAGTACTACCCTGGTCTGATCCTACTTCCTGTACACTTGGCTGGGATGGTTTACCTTGTCTTGAACAGGAGGCTGAACCAGGCAAGGTCCCTTCCAGCCCTACTTTCCTATGATTCTATACTTAGTTTACAAGATTGCATCATTTCATTCATATTGTAATAAATTTCATGACCATATCACAATACACGTGCAAGTTGTAAAATGATCTAAACAACTAGGAATTTATTTTTCTGGTAGACTGATTTTTACCAATCGCAGGGAGTGTGTGTGATGACATCCCCAGGAACCATTTCAGTAGCTCCCATGATGGCCATACAGGTTTCCCATGATCCCCAAGAAGGTCTATGAACAGCTGTGCTTCCTGCAATATATAAAGTGTTCAGTGAGACTTGCTGTGGTTAAAGTGTGGTAGCTGAACAAATGTGGCAACATCCAGTTTTAATTTATATGCAGTACCAGCAGGCTTTATCTGATTATCTACATTCTCTATGGGATGAGGACTGTCAGAACCCAGTAGTTGAGTGCCTATGTCACAGTGGAAGGTTTAACTGATTTGATGCATATGACGCAGTGGAATTTCTCGCCACAGTGGAATTTTCCGCTATGGTGAAAAACCCCGGTGCAGTAAAAAGTTCCCGCCAACTTTATGCAAATACGCACACCACCATTGGCCGGTTCTAAATTATTCATGTTTGGTGACTAGTGATTGGCTTGTTAGTCATATAAAAGTTAAAGCAGTTTCCGCCCAAGTCGGAGAACTCCACACACATCTCGGAGTGAACTTGGCAGGCTGATCACCCACCAACAACTCCCCGTCGCCGACCGTCCCGACATACCCTCATGCCCTGCAGGCCCGATAAGCCATTCATGTCAGTTCGTCTGACTCGGAGAGCTCACGTTTGCAACTGTAACCTAAGTCAGTTCTGCTTCCTGCGCTGTGTACACCGACGGCGTAAGTAAATAATCTCTTTGTTCAACCAATACGCTTCAGTGCCTAATTCCGCGCCATCAGTCAAAAGTCCCCGCCTGCCATTTCAGGGCTACTGGCCACAGCCCGGCCTACCACTCGACCGCCACAAGGACAAGACAAAAGGAGCATAGAACTAGGGCTGTGTGAAATTTCACCGCCAGTTTTGTTTCGATGTTGTTTCAACCCATTTCGAGGTCAAATCAGGAAAATCAAAACGGAACAAATATAGTCGAAACAGCCTTGAAACAAAAATAGGCAAGTCGAAATGTTTTGCCATTTCAACACTGTTTCGACGTTTCGCCCATAGGCTAATGGGGAAGGACATAGCAGCCTAAAATTTTGTCATTTCTGGCCTGATTTGGATGAAAGTTGCAGGAACTGTAGCCCCTTCCGAGGGCATGATGCCGGCCAGGTTTCAAGGAGATAGGTGCAGGGGGTTCGGGGAAACTGCACCCCAAACACTGATGGAAAAGAACTTGGGAGTCTTGGTAGACGACAGACTCAATAGGAGTCTGCAGTCTGATGCAACCTCACAAAAAGTGAACATAGTTTTGAGACGCATCAATATAAGCATTAAGTGCAAGATATGGGAAGCATAATCGCCAACTGCTGTTTTTACTCTGGGTTGCTTGCAGCTGTTAACAAAACAAAACAAAAAACAAAACACAATGGTACTTTACTTTAAATCAGGGGCGGGCAATTTTCAGGCAGAGGGCCACTTACCAAGTTTTGGCAAACCATTGAGGGCTGCATGGGTAGCCCTGCCTCTTGACAGGTACCCCGCCCCCTGGTCACCATCTTGGGACCAGTGTCCCAGTGTCTTGGGACCAATGTCCCAGGACCCCTGACCTTTGCCACCAGAAGTACTTCCCCTTGCCCCCTGGAATTACTTTTTTCAGCAAGGTGTTTTGTCATTTCTGAACCAGAAAAATACCAAATTACATTCTAAAAATCAAACATCTACAACATTCATTAATTTCATTTCAAAAAATATTTTTGCCCTGATTCACATGTGTTTGTGTAGTGTACACAGAGGTTATAGTATAATAGCTTAAAATGAAGTCTTACTCTTGTATATTGTGGGAGGTGGGGGTGTGTGTGTGTGTGTGTGTGTGTGTGTGTGTGTGTGTGTGTGTGTGTGTGTGTGTGTGAGACTGAGATCTGTGGGGAGCTGAGTGTTGGGGGGGGAGAGCAGCTGGGGAGGGTTGTGGCATGCATGGAGGGGGAGGGCTTGCCCACAGCCTGCCCCCTCCCCCCATGGCAGGCAGTGCCCCCACTCCCGCTCCTGCAAACTCAGGCTCTACACTCTTGCCACTCCTGGCCCCGGGGCACTGGTGTGGGCCTCATGCTCCCGCTTGCTGCCACTTGCCCCCCCCCGCCTCCACCCCCATCTGCCACTGCTGCCCTTCTCCTGCTGCTTCCCTCCTCTCCCCCGCCCCAGCACTCTGGCACCATGTCCTAACTGCTCCTGCAGTCCCAGCGTTGCAGCTGGGAATCGCGTGGTGCCAGCTGGTGGGCAAGGTGGGGGCTGGGGGGGCAGAGAAATAGTTGCAGCAGGCAGGAGGAAGGAGCAGTGAGCAGGTGCGTGAAGCACAGCAACAGCCAGGCGGGAGCCAGCACAGGCAGGGCCCACAGCAGGGCGGCAGGAGTGCAGGGCCCAGGCTGCCTAGGGCTCTATGGAGTCGGGCTGTGCTGCTCAGGCAGTGAGAGGAGTGAGCCAGCCCGGCTCCAGAGTCCCTGCCAGCCCTGGCCCACACTCCCACCGCTCTGCTCTGTGCCCCACCAGTACTGGCTGGCCCAGTGCACTTACGCAGGCCCCACATTCCTGCCCAGCTGTCGCTACACTCCACATGCCCACTCGCTGCCCCTTCCCCCGCCTACTGCAACCATTTCCCCACTCTCTAGCACCACATGGTTCCCAGCTGCAGTGCTGGGACCCCAGAAGCTGGCTCGACCAGTCCTGAGGACTGATGCGATTGCTCATGGTCCTCCCCTGCCTCCCTCTCCCCCTCCTTCTTATCTATATTTCCCTAGGCACAGGGAGGCAGAAACAGTCCTAGGCCAGAAGCCTCCAGGAGTCCCTGCTAGGCAGAGGCTTCCAGCTGGGGTTCAGGGTGTGTGGGGGGGCTGCACTTGCTCCTGCGGCTGTTTAGTTCTGCCACTGGCTTCCCTTGGGTTCTGCTGCCCGTGGCTCCTGTCACCTTTGACCGGAAGCCTGGAGCAGATTAATATTTATCTTCTAAATTTTTTAGGGGCCCTGTGGGCCGAATAGAATGGCCTGGTGGGCTGGATCCAGCCCACAAGCCATTTTTTGCCTACCCCTGCTTTAAACTCAGCATATTCCCACATCAAGCCTTGCACATACCCAGAAGAAGCAACACGTTACTTCAACCAGGCTCTGCAGCATCTGTAACAATCAGGCACATTAGTGGGACTTTTGGCACTTTTATCTAATAGCTGATTGAATCAGCTTTAGCTAGAAGTGGCATAAAGCTCTGCTGAAATATCTAATCTTAACAGACACTGCAGAGCCAGAGTGAAGCAACATGCTGTTTCTTCTGGTAAAGTATGTTTTTGGGGATTTTTTTCATAGTTTCATAGTTTTAGGGTCGGAAGGGACCTAATAGATCTTCTAGCCCGACCCCCCGCCAGGGCGGGAGAACAACAAAAAAAACCCCGAGTCCAGCCAGGTAGGCATCCAGCCTCTTCTTAAAGACCCCCAGGGTAGGGGCCAGCACCACCTCCCTTGGAAGTTGGTTCCAGCTCCTAGCCGCCCTAACTGTGAAGTAGTTTTTTCGGATGTCCAATCTGTACCTCCTCTCCATCAACTTGTGCCCATTACTCCTTGTTATGCAGCGGGGGCTAGGGGAAACAGCGTCTCCCCCCAACCCTTCTGGTTCCCCCTAGTGAGTTTATAGATGGTCACCAGGTCCCCCCTCAGCCTTCTCTTGTGGAGGCTGAATAGGTTCAGGTCCCGCAGTCTCTCACTGTAGGGTCTGCCCTGTTGTCCCCGGATCATGCGGGTGGCCCTCCTCTGGACCCTCTCCATGTTGTCCACATCCCTCCTGAAATGGGGCGCACAGAACTGGACACAATACTCCAGCTGCGGCCTGACCAGCGTCGCATAGAGGGGGAGGATCACCTCCCTGGCTCTACTCGAGATGCACCTGTGGATGCACGACAAGGTCCAGTTAGCCCTACCAACCATGACCTCGCATTGTCGGCCCATGTTCATCTTGGAGTCAATAATGACACCAAGATCCCCTTCTGCCTCCGTGCTCTCAAGTAGGGAGTTCCCCATCGTATAAGTTTTTGGTTTTTTTAAACATGTGCGAGCAGCCACCTGTGGTTCATGGGTGATGAACACTCGCTATCTTTTTTTCAGTGGGTACTTGAGCCCTGGAGCACCCATAGAGTTTGTGCCTACGACTGGAAGTAATAATACCTCTCTACTTGGCACTGGTTAGGCCTCATCTGGAGTACTGTGTGCTGTTCTAGGCTGGCTCTACATTTTAAAAAGGACACGAAGAAGTTAGAGGGTGCAGAAGCAGGCAACAAAGATGATCAAGGGCTTGGAAAGCAAGTAATGCAAGGAGAGGCTGAAGGAGCTAGGCATGCTCAGCTTGCAGAAAAGGCACTTAAGAAGGGACATGATAGCAGTGTTCAAACACTTGAAGGGTTGCTGTAAAAAAGAGTTAAAGCACCCCTTGCTCCAGAGAAAAGGATGAAGACCAATGGCTTGAAGTTGCAGCATAGTAAGTTTAGATTGGATGTCCAAAAAAACCTTCTTCACCGTTAGAATAGTGAGACTATGGAATAGACAGCCTACAGAAGTTGTGGATTCTCCATCACAGGCAGCGCTCAAGAACATGAATGACTCATGCCCCCATCACCTGGGGAGGTATAGCGGTGGCAGGAGCGTGAAAGCAAGCGGGGGAGCTCCCACAGCCGCCACTGGCGCTGTCAGGGGGGCGGCATGTTGACCAAGGGTCAGCAATCAGCTGCAGCTGCCGCCAGCAGCAGCATCAGCCAGTAGACTGCGGACAGATTGCGGACCACCGGTGGCAGGATGGTGATCACCCACAGACACTGCTGACATTGTCAGCAGTGCCTTTTTGTAGGGGGTGCACCACTACGCTCAGGAGGTGCACGTGCACCCGTACATATCGCCCTGCTCAAGAAGAGGTTAGACAGCCACTGGTCAGGGATGTCTAGGTGTAGCATTGCTTATGTTCTACCATATGTACTTCCCATGCTTCTGGGCTTTGCTGGTTGCCCTTGGCCCCCCTCCTCCTTTTTGCTACATGTGTTAGGGTGTTTTTAAGCCTTCCTCAGAGGCACTGGCTATTAGCTACAGCCAAGGCTGGGGATTTTAACTGGGGCATGCCAATACTCCTGAGGTTCCTGGAGCTGGAGGTTCCTGGCTAGGGGGTCTTGCCGCTCCACTCTGACTGATAGCCATATTTGGGGTCAAAAAGGAATTTTACTCCATGGTCAGACTGATATGGACTGTGGGTGTTTTTTGCCTTCCTCTGTAGTGGGGGACGTGGCCCTCTACCTGGGATCTTGAGCATATACTGGCAACATTTCACAGAAGCAGGACATTGTCTGCCCTGGCCCCATTCTTGACCTTTGGCAGGTCTGCAGTGTCAGGGTTGATAGTAGTCTTGTATAGAGTTTAGATTATGGTTTGTATATGGATGACCCTGCCTCAGGCAGGAGGCTGGACTGGAGGTCCCTTCCAGCCCTACTTCTCCATGATTCTTTGAACTCAACAAAGAATGCCACAACACTCAAGGGAAAGGAAAAATAGAAGCATCTTTACAACATGGCAGGGTGATTTCATGCTGGCTATGGAGAAGGCAGGGGGAGTTGCCATCTTGAAGAAGGGGCACACATTATTGGTATCATTTAGTTTTAATGCTATATGTGCAAGAGAGATGATGGCATTAAAGATGCAGATGTAATTTTAAAATTAATTTTTACATAATTTCCACGGCGCTTTTTCCTCCCAATTTAGGAAACAGGATCAAGGAGAACAGGATAAGTCTGCCTGGCATATTGTTCTTCAGAGAGGTGTGCTTTTCTTTTGCTATTTGCACAGATAATCCATTAATCAGTTTAACTGAAGTATTAAAACTGCTGTACAAGACTTGAAACACAGCAAGGGCACTAAAACTTCAGAAGACTACCAGCACTGATATAAGTAAAGCAGAGAGCGGGTAGTCTTTTCTACAACTCAGCTGCACGTGGATCTTCCAAAGAATGCAACGTTAACTTGCAACATCTTCAGTGTCAGTCCCTAGTTCCCAGCCAGAACACAACAAACATCAGTTCTGACCTGCCTCAACACCCTGCTGCACTAGCCCCAGGACTCAGTGTTAAAAGAGGGAAAGCATCAACTAGTTAAATATCAGTTCAGCCAAGTTTATAAGAACCTGTACCAAAAATGCCAAGGTAAAAATGTTAAGATGTTCCTCATTTGCTAGATTAGTGTTTCTCAAACTGGAGGATGTGGAAAACGCCTGGAATATACCCAAGAGGAAGGAATAGGAAAGAAGGAGGGAAGATGAAATATAATAAATAAAGGGAAAAGGGAGGTTAATAAAGGGGAAAGAAAAAAATGGAACAACTGTAAAATCTCTCTTCAGTTGCTGAAGAGGTTATAGTCTAGTTGTAATGATGTAAGTGTGGGCCTTTTCATAACAGATAATCACAGTCCTGCAGTCTGATTACTCTGCATGTCCTACTGGAGTAGGACAATTTATTAAGGTGAATGAGACTCAAAAAAGTTTAAAATGACTGTATAAGGTTACTGAGTTAATGAAAATCTTGCTAATAGTTAAAGCAAGAGGACAAAGTCAGAGAAATGGTTGGTCCTAATCCATGTGGGAACGAATGACATAGCCAGGAGCAATCCAGACTGCATCATGAAGGACTACAAGGCCTTGGGAGCCAAGGTCAAGGAGATGGGGGCACAGGTGGTATTCTCCTTTATTCTCCCGGTAACTAGACATGGACAGTGACACGAGGCCTGCATCAGTGAGGTTAACTGGCGTTTTTGGAGTTGGTGCTACCAGACAGGCCTCAGGTTCCTGGACAGTGACGGGCAATTTTTGCACAGGGGGCATGCTCGGGTGGGATGGGCTTCACCTCTCCCCTAAAGGCAAGCATGTCTCCTCTTCCAGGTTGGCTGATCTCGTATGGTGTGCTTTAAACTAGCTTTGCCGGGGGATGGGGCCACAGGAGGACACGAAGACAACTAACAGCCAAGACAGGTGATGAGCACAAGAAGTACCCAGGTAAGTGACAAGGGTCCAGATTGGTAGGTGGTGGGGGGGGGGGGGGGGGGTGCATGCACCGATAGGAGGCCTTAAATGCCTTTACACTAATGCTCGAAGTAAGGAGAATAAGCAGGAGGAACTCGCCCTCTGGATAGCTTGTACAAACCCAGACATAGGAGGGCTCGCTGAAACCTGGTGGGATTCAACCCATGATTGGGCGGTAAACATTAGGGGCTACAGACTGTACAGGCGGGACAGAACGGGGAGGAAAGGCAGGGGTGTGGCGCTCTACGTCAAAGAGCAATACACATCCTCAAACAACAGGGTGGGGTCAGAGGAGGGGCAGGCTGAAGTGCTCTGGGTCAGAATGCAAGGGGGTCTCGGGGAAAGGCACTTAACAGTGGGGGTCTACTATAGACCACCCAACCAGGGGGAAGAGCTGGACCGGGCATTCTCGGGTCAGCTCATGGAGGCAGTTAAGTCAAGGGATGTGGTCATCATGGGCGATCTAAAACTACCCAGACATTTGCTGAGAGGAGCAGTCAGTCGCATCTGACTGCTCACGTAGGTTCCTTGCTGAGATACAAGACCTCCACCTAACCAGGAGGTGCAGTCGCACCAGAGGGAATGCCCTACTGGTCCTGGTCCTGGCCACAGGTGACAACCTAGTGAAGGGATTCCAGGTCCTCGACCACCTTGGCGATAGCGATCATCGCCTACTGGAATTCACCATCCAGTGGAAGGTGTCAAGTGCCTGCAGCAAGGCAGTAGCCCTTGACTTCAGGAGGGTCAATTTTAACGAGTTGAGGAGATTGGTAGGAGAGGCATTGTGGTCCCAGAGAGTAGGGGAACTAGGTGTCCAAGACGAGTGGTCCTTCCTTAAGGAGATGATCCTCCAAGCCCAAGGGGTGACAGTCCCAATGCGAGTCAAAAGGGGGCAAGACTGCTCGAAAACCCCTTGGCTTGCCAAAGGCATTCATGAATGGCTGAAAGTCAAAAGTACATCCAGTGGAAGGGGGGGGGGCTATCACTAAAGCAGATTATACCTCTATCGCTCAAGTCTGTATAGAGACTGTTAGGAAGGCTAAGGCGGAGATGGAACTAGGACTAGCAACAAGGATCAAGGACAACAAAAAGTTATTTTTTAAATACATAGGGAGTAAAAAAAGGCACCAGGCAATGTGGGGCCCCTGCAGGATACACTTGGGAATCTGGTGGTTGCACCAGATGAAAAAGCAGACCTTTTTACCAAATTCTTTGCCTCCATTTTTCTGAGCAGGGACCGGAACATCTCCCCCACCAGGATTCAGGATGGACTCAGGAGAGACTCCGCCAGACCTAGGGTCAGGGAACTTCTGGAGGGACTGGACATGTTCAAATCAGCAGGTCCAGACACTCTCTACCCTAGGGTGCTGAGGGAATTGGCAGGGGTCATTGCAGGGCCTCTGGCACAACTTTACGAGCACTCCTGGTGCTCTGGCCAGGTGCCAGAAGACTGTAAAAGGGTCAATGTGCTCCCCATTTTCAAAAGAGAGAGGAGGAAGGACCCAGGCAAATATAGGCCTGTTAGTCTTACTTCAGTCCTGGGGAAGCTCTTTGAGAAAATTATCCAGGAGCACATCTGTGAGGGACCAGCAGAGGGAATGATGCTCACAAGCAACCAGCATGGGTTCATTAGGGACAGGTCCTGTCAGACCAACCTGGTAGCCTTCTAGTATCAGGTCACAAAATCATTGGACGCAGGTGTTGCGGTGGATGTGGTCTATCTGGACTTCAGGAAGGCCTTTGACACCGTCTTCCACCCCATTCTCATTAAAAAGCTAAGTGACTGTGGCATTGATGCCTACACAGTCAGATGGGTCGCAAATTGGCTAGGGGGCCGCACCCAGAGAGTGGTGGTGGATGGGTCATATTCGACCTGGAGGGATGTGGGCCGTGGAGTCCGCCAGGGCTCTGTCCTCGGGCCCTGTTCAATTTCTTTATTAGCGACTTGGACAAGAGGGTGAAAAGCACCCTGTTCAAATTTACTGACAACACCAAGATTTGGGGCGGGGTGAGCATGCTAGAAGCAGGGACAGGATACAACTGGACCTGGACAGGTCACAGGGGTAGGCAAATGTGAATAGGATGGGATTCAATACTGACAAGGGCAGGGTACTGTACTTGGGCAGAAAGAACCAGCAGCATACCTATAGGCTGGGGAACTCCCTTCTAAAAAGCACAGTGGCAGAAAGAGATCTAGGAGTCATTATCAATTCTAAAATGAACATGAGCCGTCAATGTGAGGACGCGGTCAGTAAGGCTAACCTCACCTTATGTATCCACAGATGCATCATGAGCAGGTCCAAGGAGGTGATCCTCGCCCTCTATGTGACACTGGTCAGGCCACAGTTGGAGTACTGCATCCAGTTCTGGATGCTGCACTTCAGGAGGGATGTGGACAGCATCAAGAGGGTCCAGAGGAGGGCCACTCGCATGATCGGGGGCAGCAGGGCAGACCCTGAGAGGCTATGGTACCTGAACCTGTTCAGGCTCCACAAGAGAAGGCTGAGAGGGGACCTGGTGGCTGTCTATAAACTTACCAGGGGGGACCAGAGGGGAATGGGTGAGACCCTGTTCCCCCAAGCACCTCCCGGAGTAACAAGGAGTAACGGCCACAAGTTGATTGCGAGTAGGTTCAGGCTAGACATCAGGAGGCACTACTTCACAGTCAGGGCGGCTAGGATCTGGAACCAGCTTCCAAGGGAAGTGGCGCTGGCTCCTACCTTAGGGATCTTTAAAAGGAGGCTTGATAATCACCTAACAGGGGTCATATGAGCTTAAACTTACTGGGGTCATATGAGCCCAGTATTCATTCCTGCCCATGGCAGGGGGTCAGACCTGATGATCTGCTCAGGTCCCTTCCAACCCTACATCTATGAACCTATGAAATAGTGAGAAAGCAGCAGAGGCATGTAGGTAAGTCCAGAACACAACAGGAATGTGTAAGTGTTTCTTCCTTGTTAGAAGAAGCAGAGCAAAATTAACCTAAATTTATGTCCTCATGTAAATTACACACACCTGACCATCACTGCCCTTGGAAGACATCATAGCAGACCAGATCTGGAAAGAATATTTCATGCGGCGGATTGACACGTGTTGAACTTGGACTCCCAGCTGAGCCTCCAGGTATTCCACTACCTTAGAGAAATACAGAGGGAAAAGCTTACCCATTATCCATTACAAGATAATGTAATTATTTATTATACAATTATTATCCATTACCAAATAAGGTAACACATTTCGTGATACTACTTTAGGTCTTTGGAGAGTGCCAGATTATCAAAACGGTTGCCAAGAGCACAGATGTAACATATGACACGTACCACCCATATTTTTATTGCACAAGTGAACAGCCTCTGGCTATTTCAGTGCTGACTTTTGTCAACACAGACTGGCATGGAAGCTTCTCAGTACAAGTACAGCTCCACTGCAGTCAGCCGAGAAACTCATTTTACTTATCTGACTTGCACTGCACCGTTTCCTGGCCAGATGATTAGCAACCCATTCAAAAGTACTGGTACCTATGGTCCTTGGTAAAGAAGAAAATGAAACAGGCTTAGGCATAACAAGTGCTTATCCAAGAAATTCCTTAATCTCTCTCTCCAGGTTTTAGCGCCACACTTTATCACCTTGGAATCTAAGTGCCTAAATAACAAGGTCCAGTTCCTTCTTACCTTTCTCTGGGCCTGAAGAATTTCCTTGTCTACAGGGGACACAAAAACTGATCCTCCATCATGTTCCATGCAGTAGAACTTTATTTTCTCCAGAGCCACCTTTTCATCCAGCTTCAGCCTGAGGTGGAAGGAACAATACCCAGGTCACAAATCCACATAACCTACTGTTCCCCAGACAGCAGCATGAATTACACTCATGCAAAAATGTCCTGAAGAGGTTATACTTTTTTCTGCTATGTTAGAAAGGAGGCAGAAACCGATACATACATTACTTGGTGCCTGACATTCAGTACACCTGCCTGCTTACCACAGGGCCTGAGAGTTCCACATTTCTCCTTTTTGTTTTAAGAAAATTTTGCAGTCTTGCAAGATGCAGCTCAATATGATAAAGCTCAAACAATAACAGGGGTTAGAAGCATTTCTCAGCATCACACAGTCATACCAAAGTAGACACAAAGGTAAAGAAATACAGAGACTCAAAACACAGCAGTGAGCCAGTAGAGAGAGAGAGAGAAGATGGAAAAACCTAAAACCCCCTTGGGTGAGCTGGGAGTCTGAGCTTGTATGCAGTTATAACTTCAAGCCACCTTGTAGAACAGGGTGTGCCAGACAGCAAAAGCTGAGATTCCCAATCAGTCAGAAGATATTCCCATCAGCTGGAACAAATGGACTTAGGCTGTATGTGCTGGGGTAATAACAGGACTAGGAAGCAAAGAATAGCCAACAGTGACTGGAATGAGGAGCAGTAATTGGGGAAAATCTGGGGAGATATAAGGAGCAGTAACCAGTAAGAGACTGGAGAGTGACCTTTACTACTATAAAAAAAAAAATGATTTAGCCTTTATTTTAAAATGGTAACAAACAAGACATTTCCCCTGTTCTGCGTCCTTTGATTAGCCTTACTCAGTGGAAGGAGTTGCCAGGCAAGGTATTTCACTCCCACCTAAACTTTTTAGTGAAGGACTTCCTGTGTGAAACTGTAAAATAGACAAAATATACACATCTCACAAGGGGGAAAACAATTTCTCTATGGCAAACTGAAAGCAAAACAGAAACCTGGAATAGACCCAGACAAAAAGGTAATCTGCTGACTCGGCCGTTCAGGTTCTGATGTGAAAGTAGCTACAGGTAGCAGGTTTGTGTGTTCGTGTATCCTTCCTGAGGTTCAAAGGTGTCTGCAAACAGAATTCTGGGGCTGGTCATGGTTGGCTATTATGGGCCAATTCCACCAGGACTTGACTATTTCAATCGTCTGTTTTACCATGCGATACACCAATTGAAGAAAATCAAGCTTGTGCTCTGTCTACAAGTGGTTGGCCTACTTTATACTTCCTACTTCAAAAGAGGAATCGGTAACAGACATCTGGCTCCAAAGTCATCCCAATACTTTATTTATGCCTGTTTTATGTAAGCTGCTGGATTCAAAAGAGTTACACAGATTTAACCCATCTTTTCCTCAATGCTCAGAAAACACTTGGGTAACCTACTTTTCAACTCCAGGCCCAGCCATGACCCTCAACATAGGCTCTAGGTCCTCAGCATAGCGACACATGGGACCTGTGCACAAGAAGTCAATCCGCACCCCTCGGGCATTGGGGAACTGACCATCATTGGGGACAACCCCTACAAATGCAAATGGAGGCACAGAAGTTAGTTATCATAATGCAAACAACATCCCTGCAAAGATAAATTGATTTCCCTAGGAAGGATAGCCTCCAATGGGGAGCTAAATGATCACTTTCAGATTCCAGTGCAAGGGTACTGTTCTCAAGATCAAGTAATTAGTATGCAATTTATGAAGAGGGGGGAAATCTACAATGCACAGCTGACCAAAGCCCTGGATCTCTTGGTGGGACTAGTTTCATAGTTTCTAGGGTTGGAAGGGACCTGAACAGATCATCAAGTCCAACCCCAAAGTCCAACTAATCTATCAACTTGAAATAATGAACTACTGTTGCTTTAAAGACACCATGTCATTTTGTTTCTAAGCAAGAGATGCTGGCTCAGTGACAATGTCCTAACTGCAAGTATTTGACATCAAGCCAATAACCCACCCCACTTTCCAGACATTTATATCCAAATATAAAAACTAATGGAGTTAGCCCCTAACTTTACACCAAGGATATGTCCAGCAGTAAACTGGTACCAGAAATTGTTCTCAACATAAAAAAGGGAGGACCCTGAACACATTCCTTCGACCAATCTCTTCTCCCCAACATAAACATATGACCTCTGCACAGTTATTACCTGTGGTGGGTTTATGTCCAAAGACTCCATTAAAGAAGGCAGGCATCCGAATGCTACCACCAATATCTGAGCCCACACCAATTACAGAGCAGGCAGCTGCCAGGACACAGCCTTCACCACCTGTGTAACGACAAGTAAAAAGTCATCACCAGGGATCCAGGTTTTCTGTTTCCCATGGAAAAACAGAGTAAAATGCAGATCTCCCCCTTACTGGGGTAAAACGCGAATTTCTCATTTTAGCAGAGAAACCCACGGATTTTGCAGTTTTGCAGCAAGCTCTTTGCAGGCTGGCAGAGTTCCAGCCTGCAGGAGGCTGGGAGGAGGGCAGTCAGGCAGGGGGCACCATATATATGTATATGCACATGGTCCCACGCAGCCTAAAGAGCAGCTCCAATAGGTAAGTGAGGGAGTGATTGAGGCTCCCATAGGGAGGGAGGGAGGGAGTTGGGCAGGGCTGGGCCTTTTGCCCTGCCAGGCAGTGCGTGGGGCTTGGGGACCAGGTCCACAATGCACAGCCGCAGGGCCCCGGCAGGGGGCGGGATAGAGCCATGGGCGGCTTGTCCAGGGTAGGGGCTGGCTCCCCACTGTTGCATGCATTCCTGGGGGGCAGGAGGGGAACCGCACCCCCAAACTTTGTGCATGGGACAGGGGGTGACTCAGGCTCTCATCCTGATGCCTCCCTCCAGGGCATCCGCAGCCCAGCAGGTGTGACCTGGTGCTGCAGGGCAGAGGGCAAATCATGCAGGAAAGCTGCTTGCTACTGCGAGCTCCACGCTGCCCTCCTGTATAGGGTATACCCATCTATCCCCGTGGTCCAGTCATGGGTGGAGTCCCACCAGGTCTCCGTTATCCCTATGTGCCTCACACTGCTGCCGCACACACACAAGATGCGTCACCAGGGCAGCACAGAGCTCAAAGCAGCAAGCAGCTTTCCTGCACGGCTGTACTCTGCCCTGGAGTGCCAGGTTGCACAAGCTGGGTTGCGGAGGCCCTGGCGGAGGACAGCAGGGTGGGAGCCCAAGCCTGCACCTGCCCCATGCACGGATCTAGAGGGCATGGGTCCCCCCCTGCCCCCCTTGGGAGTGTGCGCAGCAGCAGGGAGGCAGGTTCCCACCCCTAGCAAGCCTGCAGAAAGGCGGGGTGGGCGGGAAGAGCCGGCTCTGTGCTCTGCTCCACTACAGCAGCTGCTGCCTTCTACTGGGGGCAGGGAGCTGCAGATCCACGTCTCTAGCCCTG